CATGGGATTTCGAGGGAATTTTCCCTGTCCAAGTATAGCGTGGATAATTAAGTTCCCGAAATTCGAAGACCAGTATGTGCAAGAGGTTTCTAGCTAGCGGAACTTCGAGAAATCTTATTACAGCAGGAAACACTGCAAAAACGCATTATCGCACGGGGCCCCCCAGTGCGCGTCGCCAATGATTTTCTGAAGATATTCAGTGTTCATGTGCGGGCCACCAAATGTACGATGAGCTTGTGCCTAGGCATGGACTCAGCACACGGTGCATCAAATGTTCATACTGTTACATCCCACTGGTGCTGGTAGTCTCTCCACACGATGGAACCATACCAAACCTCTTGATCGCACCAGCAAGTCTAGTACGTCACTACCTGAGTTGCATCTGCATAAATATGCAAAAAAGCATTGTGAAAATAACCTGATCCAGAACACCTTGCTCCCTAAGTAGTTTTTGTCGATCCCTTGACGGTTTGAAGTCGAGAATTTTTATTGGATCGATTATATGACTGCGCAGATTAGTCACAAAATATATGCATTCGGTCAGTAGTTGAATGGTCACACTGTAAAGCAGTTTACGTCTTATACTACAAATTTCGAATGATATGCTACATAAGGATTTCAACAACTTTAATTCAGAAACATTATTAATTTTCTGGTGCAGAAAGTATACAAGAACTTAGAATTCGTGCTTAACTTGGTAAAATTCACGGACCCCAGTGCAATTCTGTTTTATAATTTACTGGTCTGAAATAATTCGGGGACGCTTTTTCAGTGCAAATGTCCACTACTGTTCAAGTCACAATTCGTACGCTTTATATTAAAAAAAAAGAAAAAAAAAAAAACAGAAATCCACGACAGAATACTTCAGTGGTTCTTTGCTGATGATTTTCCCGCTTCGGATTAAAGCGGCGAAACTGTGCAGTGCCCTGCATGCGTCATTGGCGAAATCTAGATCGCGTACTTCATCCGGGTGAACCGGCAGCAATGCAAACGTTTCTTTATCAATTTTGAAATCCTCGCTGATCACTTTCACCCATCCTTTCTCAGTCTTACTGAAATTTTAGCATTTAGTCACTTATTTTTGATGAACGGCGACAGAGAACTGTGGATCGGTTATTCAAGATTTGTGGTAGCTTATGTTCCCAGAAATGTATCTTCTAACGATTAATTTTTTACCTGAAGTGATACAAATTTTGCTTTTCGGTGGGATCGGTCGTATGTATCCATGTTTTTGTAAGGACATGAAGCAGTCGAACATATGTGCGTTGCGGGATGCGAGCATCCATCTGAAGAAAAAGTCGCTCTTACACTTCGAGGAAAAGAAAGTAAAATAGAAATTAGAACGCAGCAAAACCGCAAAGTAAGCTGCATTTTCCTCTTGCCTTTGCTGCGATTAATGGTGAAACAAAATAAATCATTGGAGACCCACACCAGGCCGACCTGTGCGTTCATGCGTTTTTGCAGTACTTCGATGTTGTATGATCGCTTATAGTCCCAATAGCTAGAATTTATGGCATACTAGTCCTCGAAGTTTAAGAAATTAATTGAACGACTACATGGCACTTGGTCAGGGAGCAACCCCTCTAAATTTCAGCTTCCTGTCTTTTCTGGTCTTCGAGTTGGCAATTTTCTCGCCAAAAGTTTTCGCGGGACCGTTACGCACCTGGGGGCTGACTTCGAAATCCCGGAAGTCTGTGTGAACGAGGAGCATAATTGCAAAATTTCAACTTTCTATCTTTTCCGGTTCTCGAGTAAGCAATTTTTTCGCCAAACATCCACGCACCAGTACACGGGGCCTAGACACGCGTGAGGGTTGGTACAGAGGTCCTGAAGTGGCACTTGGCCGAAGAATCCACTGGCAAAATTTTGCCGCCAAAGATTACGTGGTTGCCGAGTTGAAATACCCAGACAGACGCACGCACACCGAGGTCGTCACAATATGCGTTTTTGCTGTGCAGCGTTACAGCGCTGCTACAGCCAGCAAAAACGCATATTGTCGAGAGGCTGCGTGTGTGTGTGTGTGCGGGAAGGGAGTGCATTTTGTCACTCACTTTCATCTCAGCAACCAGGAAAGCTGGGAGGCTGAAACTTTGGACATATGTTTCTACCCTGTGTGTCATCCTCCCGTTTTAAGATCTTTCCCCATACGCGCCTAAACCCCGCGTACAGGACTTCCAAGGAAACCTTTTGGCGGGAAACGATTTCGCGAACCAGGCAACGTAGAAAGTTGGAGCTTTGCAGGGATATTCTCCATGCGCGTGCGAGATAAAGATTTTAAACTCAGCTCTCTAGCTCCCTAACCACAGCCTTAAGCAGCTCCTGAACCCGAAAATCGTTAGCAACTCGGACCTTAACCGTAATCGTATATGTAAATGAATGTGGATTTTTTGACAAACGACCGCTCGAGCAATACTTCCACTTTTTAGCGAACTGGAAATTTGCTTTTTTCCAAAAAAGTTACGTTTGTCATTTTTTTACAAAGCGAGCATTTACCGAAAAAATGACCGGACTTCATGCAAAAAACTGGTAATCATGCACCTGGATGTCCGTGCGGTTCTATAATGCACCACCTTCATCCCAACTGATGCCCTTCCTCCTGCATGCCAGAAAGGATCAAAGCACGGCCAGTATGACCCAAGTGTTAGGCTACAGCGTAGGGATCATTCCTGCTAATAGCGATCTGCGAGTTTAGTGCAAAAACGCTCTACAGCGTAGGGATCATTCCTGCTAATAGCGATCTGCGAGTTTAGTGCAAAAACGCATGATCGCACCGGGGAGCCTCGTGCATTCCAGCCTGGGTTGCACATATGCAAAGACGCATAATGAGAAGAAATGCATTGGCTGTGGATCAGAGACTTGGTGGTAGTGAATCAGAAGGCGTGACTTTCCCCTTATGGTAGTTCAACCTTGTGCTTTGGAATTTATGACCTCAGCGACCTAATACTCTATTCTTTTTACGAGTTTTTGCTGCGCAGCACTTATAGCGCTACCAAAGCGAGCAAAAACGCATATTGCGACGGCCCCTGTTGTTCGTGTGCATGTATGTTCGTGTATGTGTGTGTGTGTGTGTGTATGTGCACGCGTATCTGCGTGTGTTTGTGCGTGCTTCTGTTCAGACATTTTAACTCGGCAACCAGGCAAGCTCCGGGCTAAAATATTGCCAGCGATTTCCCCGGCGAAGTGCCACTTCAGGATCGCGGTGCCGGCCCCCCACGCACGTCTGGGCCCCGCGTACGACAAAGTGAAAGTTTTGGCGAGAAAATGGCTAACTCGAGAGCCAGAAAAGCTGGGAGGCTGAAATTTTAAGGCGATGTTCCCCGTCCAAGTAGAGCTCACAGATTTCAGTTTCAGATTCCGGTTGCGCGTGGTTTTCACGTGTGGCCCGTGGAAGTTTTTGGGGAGGAAACCACTAATTTAGAAACCAAAAGCTGGGAGGCTGAAACTTTCAGGGAATGTTCCCGGCCAACGTACAACTTAAAAGTTTCAAATTCAACCCCCGCTACCTGTGTTACCCAAGTACGGCCCCGTGAAAGTTTTTTGGGGGAAAATTGATAGCTTGGGAACCAGAAAAGCTGCGAGGCTGAAATTTCTAGGAGATGTTTCCAGTCTGTGCAGAGCTCAAAGATTTCAAATTCAGCCCCCAGATATGCGTGGTTCCCACGTACACTCTGTAAAAGTTTTGGCGGGAAAATTCGCTAACTCGAGAACTATGAGAGCTGGGAGGCTATTGTGATTCCAAGCGTAGTTCCCCGTGAAATTTTTTTGGTAGGAAAAGTCACTAACTCGGAAACCGGAAAAGCTAGGAAGCTGAAATTTTGACAGAATGCTCCCTTTCCAAGTGCACGAGGACCAGTATGTCATAAATTTTCAGAAGTTCGAGGACCAGTATGTCATAAATTCTAACTATTGTGATTCCAAGCGACCTTACAACAGTACGAGACACTGCGAAAACGTGTGATCGCGCGGGCCCGCCCGGTGGACGTCTCCAGTAATTGAATTAGTTTTACGTACTGTCAGCATTTCATTCTGTTTTTTATGCGTTTTTGCCTATATGCAAATTGTAAAATGCATATTGCGAAGACCTTGTGTGTGTATGTGTGTACGTTTGTGTGTATGTGTGTGTGTGTGTTCGTCTGTCCGGGGTGTAGGAGCGGGTGGAAGTTTTGGCGGGAAAATTGCTAGCTCGGGGGCTGAAGAAGGCTGAATGTTCCCAGCCCATGCACAGCTCAAAGTTATCAAATTCAGCCAGCAGGCATGCGTTGTTCTCACGCACCGCTCCGTGAAAGTTTTTAGAGGGAAGAACTGCTAACTCGGGAAAGAGGAAAGCTGGAAGGCTGAAATTTTCAGGGGATGTTCACCGTCCACATAGAACACAAGATTTCAAATTTAGCCTCCAGGTATGTGTGGTTCTTACGTATGGCCCCGCGGAACTTTTTGGCGGGAAAATTGCTAACTCGGGACCAGAAAAGCTGGGGGACTGAAATTTTAAGGCGACGCTTCCAGCCTCTGTAAAAATTAGAGATATAAAATTCAATCATCTAGTATGCATGATTCTCTCGTGCAGGCTCATGAAGTTTTTTGGTAGGAAAATTGCTAACTCGGGAACCAGAAAAGTTGGAAAGCTGAATTGTTAATGGAATGTTCCCTGTCCAAGTATCGTGTAGTTGCTCAAGTAACTTCCCGAATTCGAGGACCAGTAGCTACTGGGTTTCCGAGCGATCTCTCTGCAGCACGAAATACTGCAAAAACGCGTGATCGGACGGGGCCACCTGGTGCGTGTCGCCAGTGACTTGATTTCCAGTGCGTCGCTTAGCCGCTTACGAATTGTAGGCAGACAGATATGGCTTCAGTTCACAAAAACCTGTTCGGATCTTCAACATTTCGCCTCCAAATTCTGTAAATTGTAATGTTGCCCAAAAGTTTCGGTCCTTCGCTTGCTCAGTCTAATTTGCTGGACTATATTGGCAGAACTGAGTTGTTTTTATACCGCAGAAGCGCAGTATTTGATCGAGCCGTTCACAACGACACAAAAGTCTTTTCAGCGCTATCGTGACAATTGGGCATGGCAGCAGAGAGTCCAGGTAGATCGACAAAACTATCAAAATTAGTGTCATGTTATGGAAACTCTGAAAAATCCTTCAGTGAAATGATAAATACTCCCGGGTGAATTAATTGGATGAGCAAAGTCAGAAGCGAATTAAAAAAAAAACATTTTCAGCCAGGTCGATGGTATATTGATGAATAACTATTGAAAACACCAGAAAAGTATCAAGCCAGCTCCGTGTTCCAAGAGAAAACTGTCAAAGGAGAGCTTCTTCCCCCGAGAACTATCCAATCAAGAAACCAAACGTCCCCCACAAATTGGTTTCTGTGAGAACAGGAGATATTTAGAAACAGTTTAAATGAAGACACTCATGTAACAGCAACCACTCACTAGAGTAGCTACCCATAGATTCCCTCATCCAGGAGTCCCTGAAAAAGTAAGCTGAAGCGTTTGAATTCCCAGCATGTTAAAGATACCAACATCAATTTAAAGACAAGATGAATTTGTGTTGTTAATAATAGAATGACTAGTTTTCCCATCAACGGAATTTTGGATCACCGGCTTGAATTTGAGAATGGCATCACTATGCACTATTAAGTCCAGTTGATCTACAAAGAACTGTGTTGATGTAAATATGTTTTGAGAAATTACAGTAGCGACTTGACTGTGCTGTATACTCCAGTAATAAAGTCTGCTTCAAAGCTTGTGTACATCCAAGCGTAGAGCAGAAGCCGCCATAAACAGGCAATACCTTTGTTAAAGCGCAAGGATCCATGACAAACAATAATGATTCATCAGCCTCCGGACGTTCGGGACGTTTCGGAACCAAATAATACTGTACATCACCATCGAAGCCCATCTCCACATTTGCTGAGATAAAACAATTACTCTATTTTGGGGTTTCAAAAAAGTGTTTTCATGGGAAAATCGCTAGGCTGCTCTAACTTAAAACTACCAACATGCAACAACCCATCGAATGCAACCAGGCTCAAGTTTTTTGGGAACAGTAAAGCCACAGGTGCATGGATTACTCTCTAACATCATCATCACTGAGCAGCCGGCAGAAGCTCGTATCGCCCCAGATTAGCTGCACAATAAACTGTATCGCGCATCAGTTGCAATCATGCGTTTTTGCACAGTTTTTTTTTTTCCAGCGGACGCTTGTTGTTGAGAACGATCATTGCTTCACAGTCTCATGATACGTGAGCTCATCTTGGCTGTGTTCTGGCCCGTTTTTCTATGTTTTGTTCTATCGGTGCACAAAAAGAGACCTTCGCGGCTTTCATTTTCATCGAGATTGTGTGCGTTTGTTTTGGATTTTAAACACGGAACAAGTAACAGTATGAACCTTAGTGGCTTACCTTATCATCGTGATTTTGTGAAGACTTCATTTTAAATGCGGAAAACAACCCACCTTATCTATTGCAAATAACCCAGCCTGGAATGCACCAGTCTTGCCGGTGCGACCATGCGTTTTTGCACTAAACTTGCAGATCGCTAATAGCAGGAATGATTCCTGCGCTGCAGCCTAACACTTATTGCTCATATTGGCCGTGTTTTGCCTCCTTTCGGTATGCAGGAGGAAGGGAGTCGCTTGGGATGAAGGTGGTGCATCATAAAGCTGCACGGACCTCCACGTACATGATTATCGGTTTTTATGCGTTTTTGCCTATATGCAAATTACAAAAACGCATATTGAGATGACCCTGTTTGTGTGTGTGTGTGTGTGTGTATGTATGTGTGTGTGTGCGTGTGTGTGTGTGTGCGTGTGTCCGGGTATTTCAACTCGGCAACCAAGCAAGTTCCAGCGCCAAGATTTTGCTAGTAGGTTCCCC